TTGTATTGAAATTATTAATTGTTTATACGTGTGCGCGCGCGCGCCGGGTTTTGACGGAACGAAGTAGATTTACGTAGTATATGGTCAGACATGTCGGTAACTACGGATGTATCGCTGTACAGGGAACGCGAGCAAGTAGTATTACCGCAGAACAAGGGAAACGATTTCCCAGTAGTACAAGTCAGCATTTGATGCCAACCTGGGAGTAACGAACCTGTTCTTGATACTTCCGTACCATAGTTCCGTTTAATTCTGTCCGTAAATAGCAACTGAATCTGAAACCGGTACGGAAAAGTAGAAAGCAATAATCTCCGCTGTTTCACCTGGATGATTATTGAAAATTACCTTGGAAATTTTATTATCCAGCCGCGATCACGTTGAGGATATCATTAGTCGAGCCGCGGAGTGATGTATTGCTCTATTTCGGATACGATTCGCTAGAACAGCAAATTTTAGACATTGCGTGTCCTCTAGCTCGTTCAACTTTATATTACAGTCGCTTCTCACGCGAGAACAGGCCGCTTTACGTGCAGTTATCCCAACGAACCAATTTTCTGCCTAAAACGCGCGGCTTCGTAGTATCTTTAAGCCTACAGCGTTAATGGCGTTACACGTTACCGAGTAGAAATAACGAACGTTCTTCTAAATCGACATTCTTGAAGAAGAAAAGAAGAAATTTGAAAACTTAAAATTTGCAGTAAGTTTACATATGGAAATTGATCGTAGAATGATACAAGGGACTTGCGAGTAATCGGAGATATCGGAGTGTCGGAGCGAAGGTTGGGTATTAAATCGAATTCATAACTAAGAGAAATTAATTGAAATACGGTTAGGAAGCCGCAGGAACACCTTTTCCGAATCTGCAGCTCGTGGTCAGATGTAACGGGTAGGAACGAGAGCGGCCCCGTGCATTAGTGAACGCTAGAATAAACGAAGCACTCGAGCGTAAAGCGAAGGAACCCATTAAAGGGTACAGATTTCCAATTCGTACTTGTGCCTCGGTTAATCAATTTCTCGTGTAACATACCACGTGGGGATTCCTGTAGGCGAAAGGCGTTTAAACTCTATCTGGCACGATGCCTATCGCAATAATTAACAGCGCGTTATACGCGGCTGCGTATTGCATCACGTGAGCAGTATAAAAAGGCAAGAAACGAGAAGAAAAGGGAAAAAACTGGGGATTGGGAGGGGGGAAATGAGGGAGAGAAACGACGAAAGAAATCGCCTGCACGGTTGGTCCAGGGACTTTTGTGAAAGATTCGTGTGACAAGCCGAGTGGTGGTCGATCGAGCGTGACGATCGTCGACAGAAACGTCGAATTAGAAATGAGGAAACAATCGTAGCGAAATGCACGGCAGTTCCGCGAGAACAGCCGAAAGGGGTGGCTGATTCGTGGTCGCTCGACGAAACGATCGTGTAACGTCGGTGGTGCTCGTGACCCTTCGCCGCCAGCACGCCGGCGCTATGCAACCAGCTTGACGTAGCAAGATGGCGGCGGCGTGTCGGAGGCGTCTCCGTCCGCACAGTGCTCGACGTCGAGCAGACCGCGTACGTTCGCAACAACGTTTCACCGCATTAAATGTGGTAGTGCAAACCGGAGAACCGCACACGTCCGCGGCCACGGTGTAATCTCGTGTTTCATACCGTAATATCATCAAGAATAGCCAAAGAAACAACGTGCGACGACGGGACGTCGCGATATCAGTGCCGAGCACGACGAAAACATAGAGAGAGAGAGAGAGAGAGAGAAAGAAAGAGAGCGAGAGAGAGAGAGAGAGAGAGCAGTGTGAACTCGTTCGTGTCTCGTTGGCAATAAAAAAATTCCCGTTGATATTTTCTCGTGGTGCGTGTTACACGTTTTTCCCCCCATATCCCCCAACACCTTCGTTCTTCCTCTTTCCTTTTTCTCCCTCCGTTAATTCTCTACTTTGCACTCTCTTGTTTTACATCCCTCTCTCTCTCTCTGTTCTCACCTATTCGCCCAGCAAAATTCCTCGCGAGCTGCTTCTGC